TATTAATTTTCTAATGAATGCATGAGAAACATATACTATAATCATCAGTCCTAAGACTATAAAAGCTGTGTGGAGGGATATACATATGTGCACATATAAACACAAAATATGTACGTATCTGTCTATTTGGCTTAATTGTATGTGTTGTAATGCATGTGGTTCTGGTATGAACTAATTAAGCAGGAAAGATGACTGTGTCTACTGCTGGAGGGACAGTTAATAGTATGATACCATAGGACTACTTTCTATCATAACCCCCTGTAGGAAGAGATACTTCCTTCAACAGACTTGAGACAAATAACCTTTGGACTTTCATGGTGGTTAGAGAGGCTGAGATCTGAAGAAGCATTTCTAGGGACAACTCCTTGTTGTTCCAGTGGCTTGAGGCAAGGGGTGGATGTGCAAGCAAGTAGACTAGACTGTGAGGGCATTAAATGGGGTATGGAGAAAAGGATCCTCTCCAGCTGGAGGTGAAGCCACTTCCCATGTTCTTTAGGGAGGAGAACCTGGAGACCCATCTCAGAACTTCATGTTTAAGATTCTGTGTAATAGTTTATCCTAACTCCTTACCTGATAGGATTATGTGCTGAAAGAACTCTCAGCACATCCCCTTTCTTTTAAATTGTGGAGTTAACAGAAAACTCCCCTGAAATGACTAAATATTTCTTTCTGACCATTAGAGTGAAGATTCTGTTGATTAGTCTGGGCAAAACCACTCAAACTGCTGCCCCTTTACAGATCTGACCAGCCTGTACTTTAATGAGGTGATTTGTGTATGTTTCTAGCAACATGACACAGTGAAAAAGAAAGAACCTCATTTTTTCTTTTTATGTAAAAGTAAAGGCATCAGAAAATGCATTATGAATCAATATGATATGCATAAGATAAATAGTCTCAGTACCTAAAAGTGTCTCCTTTGCAACATCTTGCTTAATTAAAAAATAAGAAAACTATATATACATGCTTGGATCTAAAGGCAAGTCTTTTTACAAAAAATGAAATATTTTAATAGTGTTCAAGATATAATTGGCCACAATAAAATGCGTGAAGTAGCTGAAGATTAGTCACTTTCTAATTTGTTATAGCACTTTTTTCTATTCTTGGAGACCCAAAGATTCGGAGTTTAGACTACAGCTCTCGGTTACTATCAGCCACCCTCTCTACACATACAAAAACAAAAAACAAAAAAAAAAACAAACAAACAACGACAACAAAAAAACACCTAAAAGCGGTGCAAGATTTTGTTCTTCCTAGTGATTATTAGATTGAAGTAATAAAATGTTGAAGACTTCAAAGTGTTTAGGACCCAAAAGAATGATGTAGTTCTATGCCACATGGAGACATTTTTATTACAAACTTATCCCGGTCCTTCAAAAAACAGAAAGTTAGAGTTGAGATTTGAAGAAGAAATGAGATTTTTGTTTGGGGAAGGGAAAGGGAAGCATTTTTATGAAGTATATAGAGCATGTGGAAGGGCACAGAAGTGTGAAATGGCCCATGCTAATTGGAGAATGCAAAATAGAGACTGAAGTATGTGGAGCATGAGAAGAATGGAGGGAGAAGAGGCTGGAGTGTGAAGTCTGGTTCAAGAAACACAGAGCCCAGAATGCCATTCTAATTCGGGAAGTGGATAGCCAATAAACATTGAGCAGCAAAAGGAAAAAAAACACACACACACAGAATACCTACTAACTGTCAGAACAATGCTAGTATGTGACTTACATATATCGATTCATAAAATACTTAATTTCATGACATTAATACTGTTTTCCCCATTATGTAGGTGAATACTTTGAGGCTCAGAAAAGTTCAGTTTAGCAAGTATGTTATAATCCCTTATCTCAAGATGCCTGAAATCTTACCCGAGTTGTGTATCTAGGAAACAGTAAGACCAACTGTCTGTGAGGGAAGTAGTGTTATAATTGCCATTTTACAGAGGAGTACATGGAGATTCAGAGAGGTTAAGTAACCTATCTAGGGTTGCACAGCTAAGAAATGGTAGAGTAAGGATTAAAATCCAACAGTCTAGCCCTGGGTGATCTATTTTACACTCCTTGATCCAATGTTTTTTCCTGCTTTTCCCTGCTCAATAGAAAAGTGGGGAACAAAAGAATTGATTGGTTTCATATTCTCTCTTTAATATTGGACCTTCCATTGTCTGCCCGAAACAGTGGCTCTTCCTCTGTTATTTTTGTTGTTCTGAAAATAGCTAAAATGACTTAAACAGTAAGAACCTAGGCATGTTCTGTGTTCTAGTCTTCTAGAAACCATCCGTGAGGTTAGTATCTTTTTGCACTCACCATGAGTAAAAGACTTCTCTCTCTAAGTTTACAGAAAAGCTTACTGTGCATAGACTTTTCTTTGTAGTTTCATTCATTTATTTAGAGGATATCAATTGAGCACCTACTATATTCCAGAACCTGTTCAAGGTGCAGGGGACAGACCAATGAGCAAGAGGGACACAGCTGCCCCACCCTTTCCCACCAGTATAGAGATATTTTCACATGTTGAGTACTAAAGGTGACCAGCAATGAATAGGCTGACCAGTCCATAAATATGATCATCTGCCCATCACGGGTACACAGAGAGCTGCATTGCTTGACCTCTCAATCCTCCTCTGAATCTCTTTCAGCTGACTTTGTACTTGGTGATACTTCCTCATTTTTCCTCACTGGAGAATTCTGTGATATTATTCCAATGTCATTTGTTTATACTTTTTAGTCACTCTTTTTTTCAGTCTTTGGCCGTAGCTTTTCTTTTCAATAGACATCGTTTTTTTGTTTGTTTGTTTGTTTGTTTTTTAATGTGCTTTCCAGAACACAGTTGAAGTCTGATAATTCTCTGTATTCTCAACCTTCACTGTATTGAAATTTGAGATGGCATAATCATTTCTACTTCACTAAGTACTTTTTTTTTTTCGTCAGAAGTAAGTGTGGAGGAAAAAATCTCATTC